CTCATCTTCTTCGTCATCTTCATTGTAAATATCAGCATCGTCAGCATCAAAGCTATTGGCTTCAGCACTAAAACAAAACTCCTCCGAATCTTCAAATGGAGTGGAGTCTCCAGGGTCTTCACTTGATGTCTGACTGCAAGTTTGTGTCATCACTTCTTCTTCCTTGTCCTCTTCTGCTCCTTTGCATCTCAAAATGTAGAAGTAGTTTGCATCTGGGATTATTTGTTTGTTGGCCCCTGGAATGCCCAGCAAAACAGACCCTTCACCCATATCACAGCCAAACCACATTCTGCAGTGTTTAATATCTGGTGTCCACTCTGGGCCCACATTTTCAACAATCTCTATCTTATTATCCTCCAGAACTATGGTGTTACATGCCAGCCGTTTCTGGTTGTCTGAGAGGTAGCCACCAACAAGGACAAATTCAGTGTCACTGATCTGGGTCACTATAGCACTTGACACTGATATCCCCCCTGACAGGACGGTGCAGGTCACAGCCGGGCTGCCCAGGGGCAGATCAATTTTTAGCTTGTACAAGTTGGGGGGCCTGGTGTTATTTTGAAGTGAATGGCCTCCCAAGATGTAGATTGTATCATCTTTGGCAATTGAAACGTGGAAAGAAAGTCCATCTTGAAGCTCTGGAAGCATGTATGATGTACAGCATCCAAACTCAAAATCAATGAGAAACACAGATGGCAAACAGTCGACTACACTGTTCCATGTTTCAGTGGTTCTCTGTGCAAGAGGAGTATATGACCTCCCTCCAAAGAGAACACTCATGCTTTTCCCCCGGCTGTGAACTACATTAATTGTATGCCCATATCTAGCTTCAGGCACATCTCCACCCAGGTCCTTCTCAATGCATTGGAATGTCATTTTCTTGCTAGTTTTGCTAACCAAACTTATAAAGTAAATCTTATCAGAAAGGTCATTGTTAGGTGTTTTACCACCATGGATGATGTACTGGTACTCATCAGCCCTTGCATCGCTTCTGAGCGAGCAAAGAGCAGGGTAGCGGAGAGGGGGAAGGTAACATGAGTCTTTGGAGAAGAAGACAGGTTTCATTTTGAGCTCATTCTGCTTTATATCGAGAAGGAAAACACCAGTGGGGCAGGATCTCTTTGGCCATCCTTTCTGACCAAAAAAGAAAACATGCCCCTCAAAATTCAGGAGAGAGAAGCCCGGCTGAAGCAAGGATGAGTTACTGACGGTGGATACCATCTGCAGGGACATTCTGTCTGTTGACTGGGCCATATTGTGGCTGAGAAAATAAAAGAAACAAAACAGATCAATTAGATCCTATCACAATTACTGTGATTAGATCCTATCACAATTATTTAACACAGCTTGAATAAATCCTATGGAATCGCGCTGCAGTTCACTTCTGAAACCCACACAGACACGCTTTTCTGCGTCTCAAAACATGAGTCAAGCACCAGGCGTGCACCATTTCCGCGGTATTTTGGGGATTTTGTGCTCAACACGGGCTGTCGGCACACGGAGCCCACACACGGCGCTGCTTCCCGGGGCG